ATCTTGCAATTTACTTTAGATTTGACAAATTCAGTGTTAAGGCCTTGTTCGGATGAACTCGTATCTACCAAACAAGTTCTAAGTATGCACATAGCTGATTGTTGTAAGGTTTAGGTCCTAATAATCGGCGAATCCATTTATCTCCTTCGATTCGATATCGTACCGTTCTTGATTTTCCTCTTGCGTCCACAGTTATCTCCTTCGATCGTACCATTCTGGTTTCCCTCTTGCTAATTGCAAAGACCGAGGCGCCAATTATCTCCACCGAAAAAAGAACACCTCGATCAGCTAGCTATCCGGTAGCTCATGAAATTCTGCAGCATCGCCTGTGCGGCGGTGCCTCGCCATCGTGTAGGAATCGTTCGAAATTCAGCCTATGTGTGTATATAGGTCCGTATCATTATCGTCTCCGTTCGGGAGAGATAAAAGGCCATCTCCTTATCGTGCCAGCCCCATGCACCTCTCGCCTTCCTGCCTGCCTGGCGAGACCGTCAAAGCTGAGACCGCGACGGCGCCGGCCGCGTCCGCCACTAGCTAGCCGGCCGGGGATTCGCCGATCCGTCGTTCTTTCGTCCCCCGCCAAGAGAAAAACAGATACGCCACCAGCCGGCCGAGCTATTTCCTTCCAGGCGCCCGGATAAAGGCGCGCCGCTCCCGCCCGGCCTCGTCACGACGTCGATCCCTGTACGCGCGCGCTCTCTCGTCCAAGAGTTGTTTTGCCGGCCCCGTCGTCCGCGCGGCGGGGCCCCTGGTCGGTCTCCGCGCCACGGTCGTTCACGAACGAAACGTGCGCCCACGAAACGCCTGCTAGAAAACTTGTGGCCACGGACGCGGAGGCAGTACGGCCAGGAGGTATTGCACGTACTAGGACTGGACGTCGCGTCGTCCGCGCGTCGTTGTGTGGCCGTGCCACCTCGCGCTTCGCCTCTGCCGTCGCCTCAACAAGGCGCGGTGGATGATTGATTCAACAGTCCGGCAGGGTCGATCGTCCATTTCATTGCAAAAGTTGGAGCGTAGCCGGCCAGCCGTAGAATAGTCCGGAGCGGCGACTTAGGACGTCGTGCCATGATAATATAAGCCACCACCACGTTTGGGGGTTTTCCGGATAAGCTTCAGAGCCCTTATATTATCCCAGCATATAATGTTCCACATTTGTTTTTATAAAGTTCTTTTATCTGAAGCTGTATAGCAAAAAGGTTTATCAGCTGTGTGAGGTTGTGAGCATTACCGTAAATGGGAATGGGTGGTGCCCGGATATCCGATGGATAGGATTTCATTGGACGGTACCTAACAACCCAAAGAGAAAGCGCTACACTTCCACCGTATCACTGCAATTCTTCCTCGTCTGCCTTATCCCACCACGCATGCATACCCGTCCACGTCCATCTCGCCACGCCCGCTCCCGCGCCGCCTCCTTCCCCGACACACTCTCTCTCTCTCTCCACGTAGGCGGGACCCGGGAGCCGGATAAGAACGAGCATGCCCGTCATGGCGTCCCCATCCACCGCCCTTGGCTCGCCATGCCCTTCCCCAGAGCCCGGCCGTGGCCCATGACTCTCTGAACATTCATCCGAAACACGAAACACTTACAACATGAAACATTTGAATGCAATGAAGTCTAAAGCAAATGAAACATTGAAACATACACTTGCAATATGTGTGTGAAACATATGCAACGTCCAGATAAAACACTTGCAAATTGCAACATGAACACACTTATTGCAACATAAGACTGAAAAGCAATTTGAAACATTTTGAACATACTCTTGCAACATATGTGTGAAACATATGCAACATCCAAATAAGCACACTTGAAACATACGTCTAAAAAAGCGAGATGAAACATTTGAACGGACGCTTGCAACGTATTTATACAACAATTGCAACATGTGCAACATCACGATCTATTTTTAACATCCATATGAAACACTTGCAACATACCTTTGAAACAATTGAAACATACTCTTGCAACATGCGCTTTCAACGTAACATCCCTTGCTTTGCTTGGCGAGCGGAGGTCTGGTCGGTGTGTGGTGTTCATCGCAGCGGCTCGGGCGGCGATTGTAGGCGGGGGCGGCGGGTGGCTACTGCGTCATGGAAGGAAGGCATCGATCGCACGAAAGGGCGAGGAGGCCGCGCCACGCACAATTTGGAGAGGCGACAAGGCACCGTGTCTGGCGGGCGGGCGATAAGCGCCACGACTTCGGGCGATAAGCGCCGTGCCTCGGCAAGTTTAGCGCCATGCGCTTGGAGACGGTGGGCAAGCAAATAAATGCGATAGGAAGAGGAATAAGTGGATAGGAATAAGTAGATGAGTAATTTTTTTTTTTAGAAACGAAGGGCGTGGATTATCGACTGGCGTCTTGGCTCAGAGCGTCTGGGCTCAGACCGGTTCGAAGCATTCCGTAAATAAAACCGAAGTTCTTTTATTTATACGATACAGTGAATAAATGTAATCAACCGACAATAGCCGTGAGTACTATCTCTCGCCTGTCCGTACACATAAATAGGCAAAAGCTGCTCTTTCCTCTTCTGTTTACTTGGCCGTTTACTATTCTCTCCCCAGCAATGGCGCTCCTCCGTGACCCCTCCATTCGACGACGGACCAAGGTAGCTTTTCTCTCTGTATGTAGTCTGTTCATCTCACGCCACCGATTACACGCTTGGACGATGCTTGCGAATTGCGATTACACGCTCACGCGTTCCTCGCTCGATTCTCTCTTCAATCTGCATCTATCCCATCATGTGCAGGCACGTCGCCACGGCTTCCGCGCATCAACGACTGTCGAGCAATTCACGTCGTCGACCATGCAGAGATGATCCTCGGCCGGCAAGGTTCGTGTTTTTTTTTTTTTGCCATGTTTCCTGATACCACATGGGCACATGGATTGGATGAAACCTATTTACTACTCGAATTATTATTGCCTGCGTTCGACCTAGTAGATATCATCTATCGGAGTTGGTAGCTGCAATTGGACCATAGAATAAACGGCACATGCATGCGCCCGAGCCGCATCGTGTTTGCGAGGGCCCTTGCTAGTGCCCTACAGTTGTGGGGCTTATAACCAGAAGATCCGGTTAGGGAGGCGTTTAGCGCTGGCCGCTGGGAATATCCGTCCCCAGGAGAATATCCACTCGCTATATTCTGTCCGTAGCTTTCAACTGGTCGCCAGCAAAATCTGCCGGATGGGCAAATTAGGGTGCGTGTGATCACCAACCGGTGTGCCTAAAGAGCAAGCAGGAGCCTCCTTTGCTTGATCGCCTCACGCCAAGCACCGACTAGAGTTCATACAACAGTGCAGGCTACTGCCTACTAGTACTTGTTACCTGTTGACCTACCACCGTAGGCTCATAACAGAATTCATACAACAGTGCAGGTTACTACTAGTTGTTACCTGCTGACATACCACCGTAGGCTCATAATAACAGAAAACTACTTGGGTGTAGACGGTCAGTAAACTAAACGTACAAGAATCCTATTGGGTACCTTTGTTTACAGAGGTTTGCAGAGCTGGTGATATAAAAAAAGTTGGATAATCTTGGGTAAAAAAAAGCTCTTAACACAAGAAGAAGACCATGGTAGAGTAATAATAAACAAATAAAACAATCGTGGGTGTGACCTCACCGGGGAACGACCCGAACCACAGACGAGGTAAACGGGGCCCCGGGTCATCACGGCCAGGCAAAAGGCTGTTGTGAATTTCTCTTCCTATAAGACACGGAACTCCTCGAAGCCACAGAGCCACGGGCGAGGCCGCGCCCCAGAAAGCTGACCTCCGCCTCCCTCACGGTCCGCGCAGCCAGAAACAGCTCTGCCGTTCCCTTGGAAAAACTTCAAGGACAGTGGCGGCTGGCACTTCTCCTAGCTTCAAGGTGCTTCCTCTTCCTCCGTTCCTTTAATTACCTGAGCATGCTTTCAGTTACCGGAGAGATGAGCACTAGTAACGGATCGCCGGTTTTCTTTCCCTCGCTAGTTGGCAGCAGCCTGATTTGATTTCCTTTGTATCCCAACCATTTCTATTCTTCTTTCTTCCCTGATGAAGAGCGCGATCCGTTGGTGTGTTGCTTTCCGTACCTCCCAGCTCGCCTTTGAAGGCTTTGATGCTTCTTTTCCCTCCCTGAGTTGGATATCTGAACGAGTGTTCCTTGCCTTTTCTTCCCATTGAGTTCAGCCACCAGCTATTCGTTTAATCAATTGTGAAAAGCACGTTCCTTTCCCTTTTGTTTGGCGATTGGTTATACGGAGCAAACCGGATTAAATCGCAGTGTTGCCTTTGATGTTCATGTACTCCGTAGATGTTTGACATAAGTTTTGCCCCTTGTTGTTGACATACTTTCCCCGATTTACATTCAGTTTCTGCTGTCTATCAAAGGAGTTTAATACTGCCAAGTTATGTACAGATAAGTATTTAGATATACATCGCAAAACTATGGATGTTTGGTTGCTTTATATACTTATTATATCTGGTGGGAGTATGTCTATTTTGAAGTATGCGTATGCTTATGCTGATGTCAAGTGCTGTTGAATTAACTAAATTGATAATTTAGAGCTGTTCCGCAATAATAGTTTACAGCTCATTATCGATGCCATAACATCCCACCTAACATGTTAAAATTGAAGTAGCTACGCTATCATTTGGTGACAAAACGATAACCAGCTTATTTTCCTTATTGTCATGGGATTATACTTAGTATTACAAAACGAAATTGTCAGCTCGTATATATGGTCTTGTGGATGGTTCTGATGTCGGTTCTATTTGACCTTTTCAGGCACGACCAACACCGTTAAGGCAATTTCATATTCCTGGCTTGAGCTATCTTTGCAGGAAAAATCAGTTCAGATTCATTCATGGGCTCCTCAAGTCATCAGAAAAATAAAATGTGTAGCAGAAAGCCCTTGGGAATTCAACTTTTTGAGTGTGTCCGGGGGAGTCCCATCTCCTTTAGATCATGCCAGGCTCTTGTACTAGCACTGACGTTCTTATCATACGCCAGCTACCATGCCACTAGAAAAACTACAAGCATTGTCAAGAGTGTTCTCGATCCTAAGACAAACCTGGGTACGTTGCATTGGCCCAGTCATCTCTATCTTCAAAACTTGAAAGGTGCAGAGAGCAATAATACAACTCTCTCCAGCGGTTGGGCTCCGTTCAACGCTGAAGACGGCACTGCATTGCTTGGCGAGATTGACTTGGCTTTTCTTGGTGTATATGCAATTGGCATGTTCTTTGCTGGCCATTTGGGCGATAGGGTGGATCTGAGGATCCTGCTGACTATAGGAATGATAGGAACTGGATTGTTCACCGCCGCCTTTGGAGCCGGCTACTGGTTCGATGTACACAACTTCTACTACTTTCTGGGCATGCAGATGATTTCTGGTCTGTTTCAGTCATCTGGATGGCCTTCAGTGGTTGCAGTAGTTGGCAACTGGTTTGGGAAGAGCAAGAGGGACTGATAATGGGAATATGGAATGCTCACACATCCGTAGGAAACATATCTGGCTCTCTGATTGCTGCTGCCATGCTGAAGTATGGGTGGTGCTGGTCCTTTGCGGTGCCCGGTATCATGATCGCACTGGTCGGGCTCACGGTGTTCCTCTTCTTGCCTGTTGGGCCTGATGTGATTGGAATCCAGGAGGATCTCCATTTGAAGGATTATGAAAAGAGTGACATGGACACTCCCTTGTTGGAACGACGCTCATCAGATGTAAAAAGAAAAGGCGGTTGGATTTATTGAGGCGTGGAGAATTCCTGGTGTAGCTCCTTTTGCCCTCTGCCTTTTCTTCTGCAAGCTTGTGGCCTATACGTTCCTGTATTGGCTTCCCTTTTATATCAGCCACACAGGTATGTCAAGTTATATTTTTGCAGTTACCACAGCCTCTCTTTTTGGCTTTTAGGAAATGAACCCTTATTGCACACTGTGATAATCAGAAAGCATGTTTTGGTGTTGTTACAAACCTTATGATATGACGCACGTCACTAGTTAGAATGAGTGCTTGAGATATTATATACTAGTGTCGAAGCAAATTAGCAAGTGAAATTGTAAGCCCTTTGTGATGTGCAAATCAAACTTTCTGACCCTTTATATATGTTGACAAGCACTCCCTAGAATTGGAGCTGACTTTTCTAAACATCATAGCATTTCAGTTGCACTGGGTTCCACTGAAATGCACTCTGCAACCAAGGTGCTTTTTGACTTGCTAGTACAGGGGGGAAAAGTAATTCTTGGCATGTTTCTGATTTCTCACTCTGCTTAAGTACTTTTAGGTATTTGATTGAAACAAACCATGAAAGAAAGCAGGCACATGATGATGTGAGTGTTACTGGCCAGTGTGTGGCAATATGCTGCTGCGTGAATAATTTGACTTCTGTGTTTCAATGTGTATAGTAAAAGTAGTTTTTAGGCTATGAAAGATAAAGAGTCTATTGATTAATTCTGAAATAACTCAGCATCATGCCATAGATGCATAAACCATACAAAAAATTAAAAGGTTTTATACCTTTTTACTGCATTGAATTGCAGGTTCTAAGAACTTTTTTTACACTAACATCAACACTCTGCCTGTTCCTGTTTTCAGCTATCGGTGGACAATACTTGTCAGACTCGGAAGCCGGGGTACTGTCAACTCTGTTCGACGTGGGTGGCGTTGTTGGCGGCATCCTCGCCGGCCACATCTCCGACCACCTGGACGCCCGGGCGCTGACGGCCGCGAGCTTCACCTTCTCCGCGATACCGGCGCTCTTCTTCTACCGCATCTACGGGAACGTCTCCCTGGCGTGGAACATCGCGCTCATGTTCGTCACCGGGATGCTGGTGAACGGGCCCTACGCGCTGATCACGACGGCCGTGTCCGCGGACCTCGGCACGCACAGCTCCCTCAACGGCAACTCCCGCGCGCTGGCCACCGTGACGGCGATCATCGACGGCACGGGGTCGATCGGCGCCGCCATCGGGCCGCTGCTGACGGGGTACATCTCCGCCAGGAGCTGGAGCGCCGTGTTCACGATGCTGATGGCGTCGGCGCTCGTCGCGGGGCTGCTGCTGTCGAGGCTGGTGGTGGCGGAAGTGGTCGCCAAGATGGAGTCCCGGAGGACGCCCGCCCATGCTGCTAGCGACCTGCCCGTGTCCTCCATGGGAGAACCGTAGATCGCTTCTGGCTGCGCCGTCTGTGATCTCGTGGTGACGTGGAATGGTGGCGGGAGCGGGACAGCAGACCACCTGTGATTTTAGGCCTGAGGGGAGCAGATCAACCGTGGGATCTTGCTCCTGGTGTGCCGTGCTTCACTGCTTCTTGATCGTCATGGTATATATGTATATCAATATGGAATGCCTTATGGTTGCCGATGAGGATGAATGCGGTCGGCAGCAGTTTCTATCTCTGCTCTTCTGGGGAGCTGCACGTACCGCAATTAGACAGGCCATAGTCAGACGACCTTGTATTAGCGAAAGCAAATCCAAGAATGAAAGTACAAGGTTCCACAACTAAACATGAGTTTTAGCTGCGAAATGTCCTGCGGCGGTGTTTGTCGATCTAAGATTGGGAACGTCGAGTGTGATTATGGAGATCGTACATACAGAGCTCTCTTGAAGACCACCTTAACTCTTTGCTTGTGCTTGGCGGCGCCCCCGGTGTTCCCCTTCTTCCGGCCGGAAATTCGCGTGCTGGGCGCCGGCGTCGATGTGGCGCCGCTCGCTGGGCGCAGGGCGGCGTGGGCCATCTCCAGCTTCCCCGTGCCAGATCTTATCGCATGAAAGATCAATGCGGTACTATTATTATGTTTTCTTAAATTATGTCAAAACTGTCCTATGTCTATTTAAATTAGCCTGGATCCAATTTAAATGTCAACATATCCAATCACACGAAAATATATGCACGTCTATTGATCCGCCAATACAAATATATAAGAGAGAAAAAAAAAGTGTAAAAGTGGTTGACTAATTTATAATTAGTTTGGGACTCCTCATGCAAAATTATCTTCTCTATCCTACGAGTGAGATTCTGAGGTGGTAGAGAAACCCAATAAATATACTTCCAATATTTTTAGCCATTTGGAAAACTTATTGGTTTATCCATTCTTATTTTGGAAACTATCAAAGATGCTCTTAGTTGGTCTGGTTTCCTCGCAAACTTAAGAGGTCATTTGACGCAACTTCAAAAACTGCTCCAAGAGTTGTTTTACAACTTTAGCAATTAGACGCCCCCACACACCTCGTCTTTCGGGAATAAGCTCCGTGATTCTTGCTGAGAGAAGAAAGCTAAAAAAACTAGCTTCTCTCAACTTCGTCTTGATCTGGTGGACCCCACCATGACCATGGCTAACTCTGCCACCACTAGCAAAGTGGAGGTCGCCGTGGGGACTGTCGATGCACACGGTCACGCAAGTTTGGGGAGATGGTGCGCTCGCCCGAGCGTGGGGCCAACCTGGTCCATGCGGCGCGCCTAGCCACGTAGGGAGGGTGAATGTGGCGTGCTCATTGGAGCACTCGTCGATCCATGTGGGTGCTCACCGCTTGAGTCACGGTGCCACACATGGGCGAGCTCACCGGGCATGCCACGCCAAAGGTGTGGGGCGACATGCAAAGCGATGGAGGTGGTGAGAGATATAAAGAGATAAAAGAAATAAAGAAAATAAAAAAGGAATTATAGGTATTTTTCACACTTTCCAACAATCATGAGAAGTTGTTTCCTCAAACGGTTCACAAAAACATATTCACCACCACTCGTAAAACTGTTTTTAGAGCTAACGCCAAAAAAATTGCTTCACCAGTGAAGCTAAGTTACGCTAAATAGGCCCTAAATCATGGACCTTGTATGTGTTCATTAGTCCTAGAAAACTTTCGATGGTTAGTTGTCATAACCCAACGGTCATTTCAACTTGAACTTTTCAAAAATAACCCTTTAAACCCAAAAACCTTACCAACTCCTCCCAAAACCCTGACATGATACACCTCACTGTGGCCCCGTTAAATTTGGTGCAAAAATCAGCAGGAATTTCATTGTTCACAGATGAAAGTTACTATTCATAGCTGATTTTCTCTCACAAATTCTTTCAGATTTCTCTAAATTTCTCCAAGCGAACGGAGCCTATATATTGGATCACCAACCTTATCAACCATGGCTCGAGAACATAAACCTTATGTGGCAGAACCGTCTGAAATAACGTACTTACGGAGACGCTCGTCTTCCACCAGACGCTAAGCACCCCCAAAAGCAAGCTACAACGGACGGTATCCGTCGGTAACACCCCGAGGGAGAGCCCGAAAGATCCACATTTTTCTCCAATGATCCAATAATAAGAACGAGTTACAATACTTATCCATTTCATACATTTGAAGTTCTTAAAAATTACATTATTACATTACCAAATGTCAGAGTGCGGAATAATAAACAGCGGAATAAAGATAAACATCGAGAAAACAGCTATCGGTAGTACGCAAGGATTTCGTCTGTGCCCACCAGAAGAATCCTTCACACAATGGTACTCCTCATGCATTACCTACAACATGGGTAAATAAACCCTGAGTACACAATGTACTCGCAAGACTTATCCGACTAGTAGAAATAATTTTCCGACTCCAAAGAATATGATGAGCTTTATGGTTTGTTGGTTTCCTTTTCGCAGAAAGCAGTACTAATAGTGAGTCCTTATGTATGTTATTATTAATAGCCGTATTAATTCATTAGCTAGCCAGTCTATGTAAGCACCTGTTCTACTTTCAAGCAAGAGTTGAGCAATCAGTTCCATTTCATCACCTTCCATCTTTTAGTTCTTACTACGATGCTAAACCGTAGACAAGCCGTACCAGAACGCCGGCGATTCGTGAATCAATGCCTCCAGCTGGGTACCCCAAAAACACACGCCCCGCTTGTACCCCAGGCACAAGTAGGACTAACCCATCACCCTCCTGTCCTAGGTGTCCAGGTCCCCGTCTAAACTTGGACTCCAAGCCCCCACTCCTGAATCCCAGACTCAGTGCGGTGCAAGGACCTCCACCATCCTCGCCTCCGATCAGTCGGTTCAGAAAGAGCCGGATCCACGACAAGATAGCAACGAGTCTTCCCTGTATCTATACCCAAGTATGTGCTCGGAATAATAAGTATGTGACTTGCCTAGAGCCTTATGCAATGACCGATCCTTAATTGACACAGACAAGGAAAAAGTGTAACCAAGCTATGCCCTATTGGCCGCAGGACACAACCTCTTACACCCACCAGTACCCAAACCATATCCCTGCGCGGTCACCACTTTTCCTTTCCACCACTTTATCTTGAGTGATCATAATTATCACCTATTGCGAGTAACGGCAGGTTACTCACGCTACCGAAATCCTGAGCATAGCAGCTACTCGACCTATACTAGTATGACTCATAGGTAGATATATTTATGCATGTAGTTTCCATAAAATACATGTAACTTAAATGCACATCATATATATATATATATATATATATATTCAGTGATCATTAAAAATAGGGGTTATGCACCGGGACTTGCCTTGGGCAAGCGACGGGTCAGCAAAGTCAGCATCAAAAGGCTCCGGACTCCCTCCTACACGAGGATCTCCTCCTTGTACTCCTCAATGACTTCCTCGTACTCCCTGTTCATCCACGGGCACGAACTCTACAAACTCGTGATCTACACGTATGAAATGATGATGCAACACTTAGTAATACGGCAACAACAATTCTTAAAATAAAAATGCATCTATCTAACTACTAAGCTCGTGCTATCGACCAAGGTACTAAGTTACCAACTGTTATCAATAACAAGTATGAAGCATGCCATATATTATCATAGCAACTATAGGTATTCTTACTCCTAATGCCGATTTACTCTATATATGATAAAACAAGGATAATAGCTACTCTATTCATCAACCTACTCTAGGGCTACAAAATTTACAGCAAGTACATAATAATCTAGTGAGCCCTCATCAGAATTTTTCATAGCTATAGCTATCACCAATTTACCACAAAAATACCTACAAATATTAATCTACATAATACTAAGCTCTCGTTTGGATTTATGAACCTATCACTATCATAGCTATCTCAGAACTAACTACACTAACAGAGATAGATGGTATTTTTGTGAACCTAACAAACTTGGTTTCACTATTTTTGGACATCTACATAATTTACTATAATTTCTTAAAATTCAGCTAAAAACTATATTGAATAAACATTTGTAATACACTAGAAAATTGGAGAACCGATTTCACAGTAGCGACCCATTTACGACGGCTCGCCCACCCCTGTGTCCCCAGCACAAGACGCATGCAAGCAGACTTGGCAGTCTGCCCACGCACTCTGTGATGAACGTGGCCCACGCTTCGCTGCCCACCAATGAGCCCTGACGCTGGGTCGGCTCTTTTGCGAAAGAGCCCCTATTCTCTACCCTATTCGCGAAACTCACTTGAGCACTATTTCACCGAGTCATGGAGTTTGCATCTACCACCCTTCCTTTTCCTTCTTTACATGGCCAAAGTCCCCGGCATCCGCGCCTGCCAAGACTTGCGGCGGCCGCTACACCGCAAGCGACTACGTCCGACCACACCAAACCCTCACAGCCCTATCTAAGTAGCTGATAATCACCTCGACGTCAAGTCGAAGCGATGGGAGGCGAGATGGTGAACGGAGACGTTGTCTCGAGCTCCCTCCACGGCGGCGGACTCCTCCCTACGACGACGGGCGCGTTCCCGTGAGCCAAGGCACAAACAACATGAACAAGCTCAAGGATGGGCAACAACGACTCACCCTAAACCTACCGGTCATGGTGGCTTGATCGGATATTGACCAAGCGAGCCTGGCCACGCGCGCATGGCAAGCCTCGCGACGACGGCGATGGCGCAACTACGGCGGCAGCGCTGAGCAGGCAGCAGCAGGGCGAAATGGGGTGCGCACGGGATAGAGTGGAGCAGGGTGAAGGTACCGTGCCAACAAATTGGATGGAGGTGGACGGGGCTAGGGGAATTGGACGTGCGCTACCGCGGGGTCTTAAAATGACCGACGACGACAGAACCGTCAAATTGAGGCTCAGCAACGGCCGACAGGAGTAGTGGAAGGGTGCGGCGCATAGCTAGGTCTCTACTCCAACCACGGGCACATGCAATTTCATGGATTTGGCCGACGCTGCGAGCTTGCC